GGCGGTAAAAAATATCAGTAGTCTTTTAAAAGGCTGTTTTTATTTAATTACCCCAGTGAAGAATTATTAGGTTTTCTACCAACTTTTCACTCTTAAAATGGCATGAATGTGGGACAAAGTACAAAAGGTAAAACTGCTGACTTCCAGTGATGTAAACATTTTGAAAGAAAGTGTCTTGTTAAAAGTTTATAACATTTTCTCCACTCTTTCTTAACTCTTCTCAACTCTTTCTTTTTTGCTGAAATGAGGCACCATCGATCCCACATTATCATCAATAAAAAATTGGCTTCCTATTTTTTTTATTTCTATCTCCTTATCCTTTTGGTGATTATTATATATTTTTATATATTTATTAGACAATTCATTTTCTTATGTAAATTTCCTTTATTTGCTCTTTGCCCATTTCCTTCCCTGTAGAATTGTTTTCCTTTCTCATTTATTTTAAGGAGCTCTTTGTATATTAGAGATATTAACAATTTTTTTTGGCAAATATGTTCTCCCAAGGACCTTTAGAAGGTATTGGGTGGCTGTGAAGTCCCTTCTCTTTCTTATTTGTGCATGGCTCATCCCCTTTGTTGTCCCCTTCTTTTCTATTAATATTTGCCCTTTTGCCTAGTTTATTTTCTGCTTTTTTGCATCACTACTAAACTAGAAGAGAGTGAGGGACATAGAATTAAATATTTGAACAGGGCTTGTGACTTTTAGTTGAAAGGAACTGAAAACTTAATGTGTATACAGGATTTTGTAGGAGCGTTCTGTCTTTTCAAATTTTTCATGGGGTAACATTTCCTTCTGAGCCTTGAATAATGACTGACTGTATATTCCAGTGAAAACACAGAACTCACTGCCATACCAGCTAATGAAATGTAAAAAATGCAGTCTGTCATTTGGATTCTCCAATGATCAAATATTTTGATAACTGACTACATATTTTATTTTTTAATGCAGAGATTCAGCATTCTATAACTATGGATTCTTAATGACTTGGGACAAAAATATTAGCATGTATGAACAACTGAAGAATGGAATGAGTGGCTGCAGAGCAAGAGTTTGAAATTAATATTAATTCACATACAAAAATAAATGATGGGTATTCTTAGCTATATGTATATAATTTATACTTACAGCCACATTACTAGTCAAATTTATGATCAGTGTCCAAATGTTTGAAATATTTCTGTGACATTCCAAGCCATAATGTTTTCTTTAAACAGATGCGGTGCTAAATTATTTTTTTCATACCATAAAAACAAAAATCCATAAAGAGTGCTCATTAATTCACATGGAAAGGCCTGGGGCTGAGAGATAGGTCAAAGTAACACAATCTTAGGGAAAGAAAAACAGTCTGAAAATGTCATATTTTTCAGGAAGGCATTTGTATTGCTAGCTCTTGGAGCTGTGTAAAGGAAAGAGAAACAAATGCTTAATATTTTTAGAAACAATAAATTCCTATGTCAATCCCAATTCTCACCAAATAAAAAATTACTCTCATCTTTTTCCTCCTATTATGAGTTTTACATAGACTCTGTCCAGTCATTCATATCTTTCCTTAGTGTTTTTATTTTATTCAGGCTACATTGATAGACTATTCTTGGTGCTGAACTAATTTTAATATGAATGGATTACTGTATATTTTATAGTTTGGGTAACCAATTGATAACCATTGAAAATCTTGTTTATGGTAATCACTGAGACAAGACAATTTAAAACTCTCTTCTTTATACAATTAGAGAAAATTCCTGGAAATACTTGTTCTTAAATTTATTCTTAAAATTATATTATCAAGAATAAAGACATGGTACCATTATTTAGGGAGTAGATTTCCCTGCACTTTATAATATTAAAATATTTATTTCTAAAGATAATTGTTTATTTTCATTGGTAAAGTGTTTTACAGAAAAAATTGTTATGCTTCTTTGTTTTGTTTGCTCTTAAATATCAAAACAAATATTTCTATGTTAGCTGAATGTGGAGTTATAAGGTTTGGTGTGATGGATTCTATCACATTCAAAAGTTTATATCTTTAATATAAAGTTTATATCATATTTTAAAAGTTTTATAACTTTAATGCCTTGTGCTTTTGGCAAGTTGTAATTCAGGAAGGCAGAAAAATCAATTTTAATATGAAAAAAGAAAGTATTTGACAGCCAAGATAATCAGCATTTATGCAAACTGAAAATTACTTGCCCGCCAAAACAACCATTTGTGAAGATTTAAAAAAATATAGAAAATGTTATGACTGTTTATAAGTTAAAATTCATTGCGTCTACCTTGAATCCATAGGATATATTTTTAGCTTATTGTTGTTTTTAAAAAATCTATGAACATAGCAAGTATATTTAAAATAGTTTACACTATAATGGGCATATTTATTATGGTTATAGTTAATAATCATATATAATGAGATAGACTTAAATCATGTGTTGGAAATTTAAGTTATTCCTGTTATGCTGTCATAATAAACATTTATTTTTTCTCCAAGTCTTCTATATGTCATTTGTCTCTTTCTCTTTTCTGGGCTAGGCTTAGAATAAGAGCCAATAAAACCTGGGATTCAATCTGTCTTCTCAATAAAATTATTGGTACCATTGGTGGTCATAGGAGTCTTCAGTGGTTCTTTATATACTCTTCTTTGGTAATGATTATACTTTAGTTTTGGGGCATATGTGACTAGTGGCATTTAATAACAAAAAGATAACATCTCATAATGTTATATTACAACCAGTCCTTCCACTAATTTAAATTCAGATTCATTATCTTTATTTAAGAAAAGCAAATTTGTTTGGAAGTACCAAGAGGGAACAGAAGTGGCCATTTCACAGTGCTTCATGATTTAAAAAAATCAGAAAACTTACTTAACTAATATACCTTGTGTACTTAGCATCTGTTTATCAGAAATACCAGTGGTTACTAATTAATTAACTGATTGAACAAATAAAGTCTATTCATTATACACTTTTGTACAAAGAGGATTTCATTTGGAGAAAAATTTCTACTCTGACATGATTGAGAGAAAAAGTATAATCTTGGGCGACATCAAATTAAGTGTGACTAGTTTGTAGTGGCTGATTTAACATATGACATAGACATTAACTCTGGGTATATTATGGGCTTTAGTGTAGGATCGCTAGAAGGATGTGATAGATGCGTGTGTAAAAACTATATTTTAAACATATGCATTACATGTTCTAATTCTACGAGTATGCTGGAAGTGTCTAGACAATAAATTTTAACTATAACCATAATTGTGAGACAAAGCTAAAAGTGAGACAAAGCTAGAAGTGCGACAAAGCTAACCAGAGCCACCTGGGGAAGGAAAGAGCCTCAAGGACTTGTTTACACAGTTGTTTCTAGGGGAAAAAAGAAAAAAAAATGCAGTCTTCAGTCCAAGACCTGTCAATCCAATTTTTAAAGATTGATTAGGTAGCTGAGTTTTTCTTCCTTTTATCCTTGGAGAAAATGAAAAATAACACTTTCTCTTCTACTTTAGACTCACCATTCATATACTTTATGACAGTTTGGTCTCACCTGAGCCATCTCTTCTCTAGGACAAATTATGCTAACTCTTTCTGTCTGTCCCCATAGGTCCTATTTTTCAACCATTAAATCATCTTATTGTTCTTTCTTGTATATTTTCCAGTTTCTTCAGTCCCTTTAAAATTTTGAAGTCTTAAATTTAATATATTTGCATATATTTATGTTAGACGAGTTAGAACTTTAGGAGCGTTATTTCTTCCTGCTAAGTGAGAGAGACGGTCACTATGACAGGTAGATTGGAGAAAGGAGATAAGAAGAAAAAGAGAAGCCAGATGAGCAACTTAATATTCAAGTTATTGGATTTCTATGATCAGAAATAGCAAAACCTGTGTCTGGAAAATGTCACAAAGGTTTTTAATAAGTCCTTTGGAAGATACCAAAACACAAAAAATTATCAGAAACAACCAGAGCTACTTAAAAAATCTTTCAAAAAGATTTTTTTATCTTTTATAAAAGATAAAAGATACCTTTATGCTTATTTTTACTAATTATCCTTCTGTAAAGGAAAAGATTAGTAAATGAGCTCCAAATTCAGAGCAAAAAATAACAGAGAAAGATGGCCACTGCCAACTCAAGAAAAGGGATAGGAGTTTAGCATGAGAGTGAGTAAGCTTATCTTAATTAGGGGCTAGAACCATTTTTCAAGCAATATTATTGACAGAGGGAACATTTGTGGAGTGTGGCCTAGTAAAGAATTATTTTTTCCTTTTTGGTAGTACATGGTCACAAGGCAAAGTGCGCTATTGGCTCTGTTGATGCACTGTCTTGGGTTTATAGCATTGCATTGTCTTCTCTGCAGCATCATGTTGATTTGGGGTGATTAGGATATTAGAGTTGGTTCAACCTCTCCATTCCATGAGGGACAAAAAGGAAACTATAATGTTGTAAATAAAAGAAGTTTACCTCTGTAGCAGTTACTGTGAGAGAATAGTTCCACTATAATAAAAACCTTGAATAAAAGCCCTAAACTTTTTATTACTTCAATTTAAGTGCATTGATAATTTTATTTACTATTTCTTGAATTTTATATTTAACTTTAAACCTAAGGTCTTATCTATGTTCAAAACAAAATACCTGGCTTTTACCCTACTCTATATCCTGGGTCATGTACCACAAAATGGGTGAACTGCTCCATTGGCTCTACAAAAGAGAGGAATGCAGTCACTACAAAAGGATGGTACTGTGTTCTTTCCAATATCCTCCTTTTAAATCAACACGAAATAATAGGGATCACAACAAAGTCAGCTTACAACAGCTTTAATTCCCCAAATGGAAAGCTGCACGATAAACCCACTGCAGCTTTATTTTCACTTTAAGGTGGGATAAAACTATACATCCGCCATGCCCATATTGGAAAGCCACAGGCAGATCTTAGAGGGCTCTTGCATTGAATGGTGTGCAGTAGTGAGATATTTGTATTTTGTGCTAACCCCTCTTCGAAAGCTAATGCAGTGTGGTCTTACCATTTTTGCAGACAGGACAACATTGTTCTGGTTCATAGACTGGGTTGACACACTCAGGAACTGCGCAGTCTGCTACAACACAGTGAACTTCATTGCTGGGCTCACAGCGACACCATTCACATGGAGAGGGCTAGGAACAAATCTAAAATTAGCCCCTTTTCTCCTATAACTTAATGCTTGCACATTCATATGCTGTCAGAAGACAAAACATCAGTGCTTATTATTTTGGCTTTACTGTATTAATTCCATTTACCATGACTATGATCATTCTCCCCCGGTGAAAGGCAACCTAGATACCCAAGCCACAGTGGATTACAACCTGCACTCGGGATGCTGTGAACAAGTAAAGCACCTGTTTATGACTTTTCCTATATCTTATGTTCCTACTTTCCAGAGAAATATTTGCATAACTAATATGTCATCTCCTGGTTTGTTTTCCAGATGTACTGATTGCTCTGACCTCCTCTGGTAAATAGGCATTCTACTGGAACATGTAAGATAATTTTTGCCATCTGTCATTTTATTCTTCTTGAGAAAGGAGAATTACTGAGAAACAAGAAAATGGTAAGTGGACATCTGTACCCTTTGTGTGAACTCTTTTTCAAGCTAACTTAGACTCTAAATGGCATTTTTCAATGTGAATATTAGAGAAGATTGCATTTAGGAACCAAACATCCAGGTACTGCCTCTTGAAAGATTCAGTGAATACCTTTCATCTTGCCTGCTTGCTTTTATGAATGAACAAATCGACTGGCTTAAAAAGCCACTATGTAAGAGTCAAAGACTCTAAAAATGGAACTAAAAATGATAATTAAGGGAAAAAAATTAAGCATCAGAAAAGAACATTTGTTTTTGCAGTACTTACCGACCGAGAGTGTTTGGAATTTTCGGTTTCCTTTCTAGAAACTGCCTATGGCACAAATAATCTAAAGCAGGGGCCACCCTCTGACTTTCTCATCCTTTGTAAGTTCTATCTCTACTTTTCTCATGGAACAGAAGTTTAAAATTCTGGAATGAAAATTTGGAGGTGTCAGAAGTCATACAATGTCCACACTTTTCAAATCAAGCCATTTGTTCTTAGAAAGTTCTGCCTCCAATCTGATGCCACAGATCCTCACCTGCAAACTGTGCTAATTAAAGCCCTCTTCCCTTGTTTCAGTGACTACTGTCCAAAACCCTTGTCAGCTCTTATTTCTTCCCTGGATCTGACAATCTGTGTAATATCAATGCTTCTTAACTCGGGCAGTCTGTAGGTGTAGATGGCAACCCTTCAACTAATTATTTTAAAAATTCATTTTGTTTTTGCTTTTTGCTTGGAGAATGAAAGCCTAACTTTAAATTACTTTGCTTTCAAATTTAGTATGAACAAAACAATTAGCCATAGGATCTGTGGTAAAGTATTGCTATTTGTTAACATGATCAATACATTTTTGAAGTGTGCAGTTAAAGTCTTTACCATGTGGTGAGTTGTGTTTAAAGATTTCAGAGAAATCTATTGCATTTTCAGGTTGAGATTTTTCTGATGCTTTTCTGCTAAATAATCTCAGCAAATTAAGAAAAAGATTAGAATCTACAGTACATTATTTAATGGAGAAAATTAGCAAATAAGAGATGGAAACTCGTGTTGCTCTTTTGCTCCTTATTTTGCAAACCTCATTGTGATATCTAAAATTCTCAAGCAAATTTGTCAGCATTTTCCCCTTTCCTTGGTTAATTACAAAGAAGTATTTTCACATGGCCTTCTGAAATGCAGCAAAGACTTGGACTGTATTTACTGCCAATATGGGGGAAAAAGGAAGCCACTAGTATAATCCTTTCCCCACAGCTAGCATTGTTTATTCTTTCTGGTTTCCTTCTTGTTGAAGGAAGGGCTGGTTTGTACAACTCTAGTGAACTGATTCAGGGAATAAAAATTCTGAAGAGAATCCTAATTTTCAAATTCAAAATGTTTACTTCAAAATAACTATAGTCTTTAAGAAAGATTTGTTGAACGATTAGATTCCCAACTCTGATGAGGAACATCATTCTAATGTAAACACTGGCATTGTGCTAAGCAATTTTCCTATATTTACTCACTTATTTCTTGTAATAATTCTATGAAGCAAGACTTGTTTTTATCTTCATCTCACAGATGAAGAAATTGACTGAGAAAGGTTTAATAGCTTTCCCAGGGCCTATGGTAGTAAGAAGCAAAGGCAGGATTTGAATCCAGTAGCCTAACTGCTATAATGGACTGCCACTTGGTAACAAGAATCACCATTTTGTGTACTGATGCTCTCGCTAAGAAAGAGAAGTCCATTAACTTGGGTGTTTGGTGCATAATGAGATCATTATGGAAACTTAGAGCTTTTTAACTTTCTACAAATGTGAGTTAGAAAACTGTAGTTGCCAAAGTTAGGTGGCCACAAGGGTTGCATTCTTGGGGACCTCAGCATCTTCAAGCTTTGGAGCCTGGTAAGTAGATGTGCAGGCATCTGGAGAAGTGTTAACAGGTAATAATTCAGTAAAGACCAATAAAGCATTGGAAACTGAGAAATATTCTGACGAAGAGCTAAGACCACAAGGCTTAGTGATAAGAGTATATCTGATTCTTTGAAGAGGGTTTGAATAGTGAAAAACATAAATGAGAAAAGTAAAAACATCACATTAATCATTGGTGGCTTCTCACCCTGCCCTGAACTTGGCTTTATTTATGTACTGTACGCCATCCCTTTCTGACTCAGAATCTCTTATATGCATGTGATTTCCTCTTCTGTTTTCATTAAATTGTTTTTACAAATGATCTGTCTCTATTTTAGCGCACTTTTTCTCGTGTCAAGCCTCCATGTGCCCCTCTGATCCCACTGTAAACACTCAATCAAATGTAACCCATCGACCACACGCTAGAACCCCTTTCCATCCTCTCCAGATGTGCCAAGTCTCTTTCCTTTCATAATCTTACAATTCCGGAACTATTGTTGTCCTCTTGCTCAACTTGACTTTCTCCATTGCCCCTGCCTGCCCCTGCATTTGTAAAAAGATATTGTTTGAACAGGAATAAGTTACTAGGAGTGTGCAGGGTGCTACTTTGACATTAAGTTTAAAAATACTTCCCACTTACAGTGTAAAACTCATGGTACTTTGGATAAATCTTTACATCTTAAGCATTAAGCTGGTTACAGATTTCCTTGTATTGGGTTGTTCCGTGTTGAAAACTATAGTTTAAACTTGAAAATGTCCCTGTAAAACCAAAGGTAAAAGAATAAAGCTATCCTTAGAGAAACAGAGAATGCCAAAACAAATACCTGGAAAAATTATTTCTACTAGCATTTTTTAAGAAGAACGTGTGAAATTATGACTAGTGCATGGCTTTTGCCAGCTAGAGATTGGTAAGTATGGTGATTGAATTATACCATCCTAAAATTTTATACAAGAAAACTCTTTTTCTAAGAAACCTCACAGAACACTTTATTTCTATGCACTCTTTAGAAAATAAAGTAACATTCACTCACTTACTACTGTTTTTTTTTTTTTTTTTTTTTTTACTTTAGCATGCATTTTTATTTGTGAGAAGTGGCACAGCATATTGATTAAAGGCATAAGTTCTTAGGTTAAACTATCTGCTTATAAATCCTCAACCCATCACTTGCTACCTATGTGATATCAGACAAATTACTTACTACTTGCAATCCTCAGTTAACGGCATAATAATAATCATCACTCACCTATGTTGTACAAATGAGAAAATATATGTAATATGGTTAGCTTAGGATTTTAAATGAAATAATTCATCAGCTAGTACCAGCTTTTTTTAGACTGTGAAAAAATTGATAATGCAGAAAGTCATAATTAATTAATTTTAAATGTTATTCATCAAAAGATTGTAACAGAATGGCATATACAAGATAATGATAATAATGCCAATTCAGAGAAATATATGAATAAATTTTGGAGGGATTAAGCAAAAACAAATAGTTACTATGATTAAACTACAAGTACTTTTTTGACTTATTTAATGAAAATATTTTTATTAGAAAATTCTATTTATCTTTATAAATTTTGTATTCTTTCTTGCATCTATATAGTCTATCAATTTTTTTTATTATACTTTAAGTTCTAGGGTACATTTGCACAATGTGCAGGTTTGTTACATATGTATACATTGCCATATTGGTGTGCTGCACCCATTAACTTGCCATTTACATTAGGTATATCTCCTAATGCTATCCCTCCCCCTGCCCCCACCTCACAACAGGCCCCGGTGTGTGATGTTCCTCTTCCTGTGTCCAAGTGATCTCATTGTTCAGTTCCCACCTATGAGTGAGAACATATGGTGTTTTTTTGTCCATGTGATAGTTTGCTAAGAATGATGGTTTCCAGCTTCATTCATGTCCCTACAAAGGACATGAACTCATCCTTTTTTATGGCTGCATAGTATTCCATGGTGTCTATGTGCCACATTTTCTTAATCCAGTCTATCACTGATGGACATTTGCGTTGGTTCCAAGTCTTTGCTATTGTGAATAGTGCCACAATAAACATACATGTGCATATGTCTTTATAGCAGCATGATTTATAATCCTTTGCGTATTTACCCAGTAATGGGATGACTGGGTCATATGGTATTTTTACTTCTAGATCCTTGAGGAATC